TTAAGGGAACAGTTAAGGGAGCAGTAATGGAAAGTTAAGGGAGCAGTAATGGAAAGTTAAGGGAGCAGTAATGGAAAGTTAAGGGAGCAGTAATGGAAAGCTAAGGGAACAGTTAAGGGAGCAGTAATGGAAAATTTAAGGGAGCAGTAATGGAAAGTTAAGGGAGCAGTAATGGAAAAGTTAAGGGGGCAGTAATGGAAAGTTAAGGGAGCAGTAATGGAAAGTTAAGGAAGCAGCAATGGAAAAATTAAGGGGGCAGTAATGGAAAGTTAAGGGGGCAGTAATGGAAAGTTAAGGGAGCAGTAATGGAAAATTTAAGGGAGCAGTAATGGAAAGTTAAGGGAGCAGTAATGGAAAGTTAAGGGGGCAGTAATGGAAAGTTAAGGGGGCAGTAATGGAAAATTTAAGGGAGCAGTAATGGAAAGTTAAGGGAGCAGTAATGGAAAGTTAAGGGGGCAGTAATGGAAAATTTAAGGGAGCAGTAATGGAAAGTTAAGGGAGCAGTAATGGAAATTTAAGGGAGCAGTAATGGAAAGTTAAGGGGGCAGTAATGGAAAATTTAAGGGAGCAGTAATTTAAGGGAGCAGTAATGGAAAATTTAAGGGAGCAGTAATGGAAAGTTAAGGGAGCAGTAATGGAAAGTTAAGGGAGCAGTAATGGAAAATTTAAGGGAGCAGTAATGGAAAGTTAAGGGAGCAGTAATGGAAAGTTAAGGGAGCAGTAGTGGAAAGTTAAGGGAGCAGTAATGGAAAGTTAAGGGAGCAGTAATGGATAAAGAAAACGTGTTAGAGCGACAGCCTAAAGTATAGCCAGCTGTTGCACTTTACGTAGATGAATTACCAGATTAAAATGTGTGAATTCGGAAGTCAGGACAGTCATCATTCACCCTAAACAGGGTTGCCTCCAATGGCTCCATGGCACCATGTCGGAGCCACCATGGAAATCACACTAGACAAGAATGGATCTGTGAATAGATCCGTCAGGAACTGAATCCTGTAACATGCAATTAGATTAATTAGTTATATATATATGGGACTATGGTGACCACCAGCTGCGACTTAAATGCGCCCAGGTGCGTCACCACAGTCCCGCAGGTACGTTTACACAGGTCCCGGGGGGTGTCTTCGTTGATCACCGACCCCCCCGGGACCCCGGTGATCTCCTGCCATAAATTGTAATATAATATAATATAAATAGACGAATGGTACAGATTGCACCAGAAGTTTTACGTCTATTCAGACGGTACACACACAGACAGAAAGACAGACAGACATACATACATACACACATGCACACATGCACACATGCACACATGCATACACACATACAAACACACACACACACATACATACATACATACAGACAGACAGACAGACTGACAGACTGACATACAGACATACAGACAGACAGACAGACATACATACATACACACATACACACATAGATACATACATACATACATACATACATACATACATATGTACAAGGATACATACATAGATACATACATAGATACATGCATAGGTACAAATACATATACATATATATAGATACATACATAGATACAAATGTTACAGAGACACATACGAAGATACATAGACAGATAGATAAATAGATAGATGGATAGATAGAACGACACACAAATAGATAGATAGATAGATAGATACATAGATACAAATATACATAGATACATGCATAGATACATACTTACATACATACATACATACATAGATACATGCATACATACATACATAGATACATAGATACGTACATACATACATACATACATACATACACGCACAGACACATACACACACACACGTACACACATATACATACTTACATACATAAATACATACATACATACATACATGCATGCATACATACATACATACATACACACACAGACACATACACACACACACACGTACACACATATACATACTTACATACATAAATACAAGCATACATACATACATACATACATACATACATACGCAGACAGACAGACAGACAAACAGACAGACAGACAGATAGACAGACCGATAGACAGACAGACAGACAGACAGGCAGGCACACAGACAGACAGACCGACATAGATACATACGTACATACAGACATACGTACATACAGACATACAGACATACAGACATACAGCCATACATACATACATACATACATACACACACACATACATACATACATACATACGTACATTCATGGATACATACATACATCCATCCATACATACATGTATACATACAGATAGACAGACATACAGACATGCAGGCATGCAGGCATGCAGTCATGCCGACATTGATACATACGTACATGCGTACGTACGTACGTACAGACATACAGACATACAGTCATGCAGACATGCAGGCATACGTACATACGTACATACGAGCGTACATACTTACATACATACATACATACACACAGACATGCACATACAGACATACAGATACACAGACACATCAGACATACATGATACATACATACAGACATACAGACATACAGACATGCAGATACATACGTACATACAGACATACAGACATACACACATACAGACATGCAGACATACATACACATGTACGACATGCAGTCATACAGACATACAGACATGCAGACATACGTACATATGTACGTACATACATGCACACATACAGACATGCAGACAGACATACATACATACAGACATGCAGTCATACAGACATACAGACATGCAGACATACATACACACAGACATGCAGTCATACAGTACATGCAGGCAGACACACATACAGACATGCAGACATACGTACATACGTACATACATACTTACGTAGGTACATACACACATGCAGACATACAGACATACAGACATGCAGACATACGTACATATGTACGTACATACATACATGCACACATACAGACATGCAGACATACATACATACATACATACATACAGACATGCAGTCATACAGACATACAGACATGCAGACATACGTACATATGTACGTACATACATACATGCAGACATACATACATACAGACATGCAGTCATACAGACATACAGACATGCAGACATACGTACATATGTACGTACATACATACATGCACACATACAGACATGCAGACATACATACATACATACATACAGACATGCAGTCATACAGACATACATACATGCAGACATACATACATAGAGACATGCAGTCATACAGACATACAGACATGCAGACATACGTACATATGTACGTACATACATGCACACATACAGACATGCAGACAGACATACATACATACAGACATGCAGTCATACAGACATACAGACATGCAGACATACATACATACATACAGACATGCAGTCATACAGACATACATACATGCAGGCAGACACACATACAGACATGCAGACATACGTACATACGTACATACATACTTACGTAGGTACATACACACATGCAGACATACAGACATACAGACATGCAGACATACGTACATATGTACGTACATACATACATGCACACATACAGACATGCAGACATACATACATACATACAGACATGCAGTCATACAGACATACAGACATGCAGACATACGTACAGACATACAGACATGCAGACATACGTACATATGTACATACATACATACATGCACACATACAGACATGCAGACATGCAGACAGACATACATACATACAGACATGCAGTCATACAGACATACAGACATGCAGACATACATACATACATACATACAGACATGCAGTCATACAGACATACATACATGCAGACATACATACATACAGACATGCAGTCATACAGACATACAGACATGCAGACATACATACATATATAGATATAGACACATGCATATACGTATAGACATTGGTGCCACCATGCCCAAAAAGGAGCCTCCGCCGAGGTGATGGTGGCCATGGCCGTGGTGGTGCTCGCCTTTGGGGCGGTCTACCAGCTCGTGACCATCCGCAGATTGTCTAAGCAAGCGAAGGCGCGGCGGCCTCGCGCAGAATGATGGAACAAAAGATTTCAAGGTTACTATGGACAGCCGCCTGTCTAAGTCTATCACCAGAAAAAAAATAGAGTTTTTTTTCCCCATAATTCTGTCGGTTGGAACACGTCCATCGATTCGCAGTTTGAATGCGCATTTGAGGCTGAATATTGAAGTATAAACCATTCATAAACCATTTATAAACAATTTATAAACCATTTATATAACTAAATGGTTGTATAAACCAGGGCTGGTTTTTCTTCGGAAATGCCCCCAGAAATGGAGGTCAACGACGAATGGGGAACATGGACTATGCAGCTCTAAATGGGAGCACTGCACAAACATCTGGGGAAAATAAAGGCTTTACAAATGGAGTTTTTTTTTTAAACCGAAGTAGTCCTTGAAGTAGTCATTAATTTGGAAAAATGATGCCCATTGGTGCACATAACTGGTACCCAATAATTAGTTTATCCTTGAGATGAGACCACATGACCCCAAATGGTGCTGGGATGGTTCACCATGGGTTTTTCCACATCCGACAATGGACGATGATTTGGGGATGGATAAAAACCTATAAAATACTTAGCATGTTCGTTCGGTACGTTTGGGCGTTCAGAACGCGCGTTTTAAAACCTCGCGTTTCAGAACGCGCGTTCTGAGTGAATCCTTTTTTCCAATGATATAAAGTCAATTCATTCCGGGGTTTGAACAGAGAAACCTTTTTCATCCTTTTTCCCCCACTAAAAAAGGATGTGGAGCTCTTGTGGGCTCAAAATGGTGTATGAAGCCACCAGAAAGTTGATCTTCCCAACTCCGGATCCTTTTTGGGTGAGGCAAAAAAGGTTCTGGCCTCACCAGGCTTGTGGGGCAAGTTAGGTTTCCTTCCCGGATCCTTTTTTCTCTGAAAGAAAAAGGTCCTGACCCCTCACGAATTTTATCGTAGTGCTATTAACAGGGGTCTAAGAAGACTTTGAACATTGTCTGAAAAATACTATGTGACACAGCGGATCCTTTTTGCAGGGAGCAAAAAAAGGATTCGGACGCTTCTGGGATCCATAAAGCCACTAAAAACACCCCTGCGTTCGGAACACGCGTTCCGGAACGTACGTTTTGCGTTCTGCGTTTTGGTCGTGCTAAGATAAAATACGAATATGTGAGGGGGTGAGCATGCATAAACCTTACCTATTTTGATGAATTTTGAGAAAGGGGGTGTCTGTGAATTGACCCACGGCCTCTTTGTGATTGAAAGAGTCCAACATATGGTGAATTTCCTGACCCCGTTTTTTATTCGTGGTGATTTTCACGGAGACCAGGCCAATGTCGATGCCCTTGGGCTGTGCGTTTTCCAGCTGAGATCAACACACGCTCAGTCACCAATGATGGGTAGAAACTATATCCCCTGGTGCACCATTGTTGGTTTGTTAGCTTCATTTATATCCCATCAATTCCCATCATATTTCCAATTTCTATACCATGAGGGTGCCATTCGTGTACCTTTTGCAAGGCTCCAACCTAAATGATAGCCACAAGGGGGTTGAACTCCTGGCGAACAAGGCTGATTTAGGTTGGTCACCCTCGGGTGTATGACTGGCTTGAAAATCGCCCATTTAGTTTAGTTCCCTGCTTTTCCCAACTTGAAACCTCCATTTCGTGTGGGATCAATGTTGCATTCATATCCAGTTCCATTGGTGGGGATTGTCCCTTCCATTAATATCTAATCAATATTCTGACATTACCTCTGGTAATCAAACATTGCTTGCTGGAAAATACCTTATTTAGTTCGATGATTCTCTTAGAAGCCTCTGTTTTTGAGCATGGATTTCTCAGCCACGGCCATGACGACACCGGAGTGTCACTTTCCATATCCCATTCTTCCATTTGAATAGGAATTGGCCACCAAAATACTTCACTAGTGTCCAGCTATATAATATTCGGACATATTCCAACATTATTCGGAATTATTCGGACATATTCCAACATTCCCATGCCCTGGTTATGACTAACAGTTCGCTAAGCCATGGCAGCCATGGCCCGTCAAGGCTGATGAGAAGCAGCCCTTGATGCAGGACCGATGATGCGGTGAAGGGTGCCAGGAGATTGTCCATGGGATATTCATGGGGATGCTTAAGCATTGAAAACTGTTGGCTTTGGGTAATTAATAACATCCTTTAAGCATTATTTAGTTGGATTTTTTATGGGCTGAACTATTTTATGGATGCAGCTACTGGTATGTCCAATTTGGGGATGTTAGCCAATAAACTTGGGGTTTAAACTTTAAACCAACAATAAGATCAAGTGGGGAGATAATGGCGTATACACACACACACATATTATATATATACACATACATACATACATACATACATACATACATACATACATACATACATACATACATACATATTGACTGATCCGAATCCGGCAGAATAGCCCATAGACTCCTCGGCCCCTGCTGGTGGCTGCAGCGGGATCCCCTCCGTGCCTTGTACGCGGTCCCACGTCTTAGGACCTCTGGTGTACCGGCTCGGTCGGGCGGGGTCCCCCTGCGGCTGCCGGCAGGGCGCACATGGCACCGTCACCCAGACTTCAACTTCGCTGCTTGACCTCCCTGCTCTGTGTGCCCATCCTCATTCTCCGACCCCAGCTTTCCAGCTTGGGGTGGTTCCAGCCACCTGTCGGCACTGCAGCATGCCCACGCCCCTGCCAGCTTCCGCCCTCCCTTAGCCGCCGTCAACGGCTCGCTGTCACGAAAACATTGAACAACCAGTGGCAAGAACTGCCACCACCTGTTGTTTGGGACCCGCTGCTGCCTTGGCGTCCTGACCCTTCGCCTGTCCGCTGGCACCGTCGGAGGGCCTGTCACCATCAGCAGCGGCGTCAGGCCTGGGCAGGGTGGCCTCACCGCGGGATGCGCATTGGTGAAGCCCAGAATCCGGGGCCCCCTCTCCCTAGCACACCTGCTGGGCGGGAAAGGTCTCCTGCGCGACAGCCGCAAGCTCAACGGGTGTTTTGCCCGGTTCCAGCATGTCCTTGCTCTGACCCAGCTCGGGCCCGGGGCTGGGCCACAGTCGCAACGATGAAGTCCCACATCGATGCACACCTTGCCGGCTCCTTGCAAGGGGATGTGCCCACTGCCTGGCTCCATTCCCACAACCGCACTCGGTGTCTCGTTTGCGGTCTCAGTGTTTCCCAAGCTCACGGGTCCACCCCACTTGCCGGCCGGAGGCTCGGGCCGCTGCAGTGGACGCTGCCATCCCAATGGACACTGACGGCTTGCAACTCCCATCCCTTTCAGCCATTCAAGCTGCCAAGACTGCCACCATCCGGCACGTCCCCAGTGCCGCACGCCATGCGTGGGCTCAGGTCTTGACTCGGGCCTTGGCTGCCGCCGCCCATCGCAATGATGACAAAGCTTGGCGTGAGCTTTGCATGCTCCCCAAGTGTGTCCTTTGCGCCCCCCACCGTGGCGGCAGGCAACATCGAAAAGCCACTGCTGCATACACCTTGGACCGCTTGCATCGGTGGCAGGAGGGGGAAAGGCTATCCCTTTGGGAATCCCGCACTGCTTTAAAGCGGGGGCCTGGCTTGCTTGAGCTTGAACAACGAAAGGCTCTGGCCATTGGCTTGGCCCGTGAGGGCTTCGACCGCAAGGCTTGCGCAGCTCTTCTCTCCAAAGGGCTGTGCCCACCAACCGCCGCAACTGCTGAGGCCTTGCGAGCCCTTCATCCACAACAGCCTCCTCCCACGGCGGTTGTCATGAATGATCTCCCTGTCGCACCAGAGATTGCGCCAGAAGCCGTCGCGCGATGCCTCCGGGCTTTTCCCCCTGAAACTGCGCCCGGGCCTAGTGGGCTCCGCGTTCAGCACCTGAAGGATGCTAATGTGGCTGGTGGCAGTGATGCTTTCCTCTCCCAGCTCACTGCTGTTGTGAACCTGCTGGCTCAAGGAAGAGCCCCAGAATTCCTGGCCCCAGTCCTGGCGGGCGCTGGGCTTGTAGCCCTCCCAAAACCTCAAGGCGGGGTTCGGCCAATAGCCGTGGGGGAGATTCTGCGTCGACTGACCGGCAAGTGCCTCATGGGCATCGTGCGGAATGATGCCCAGTCCTTTTTCTGGCCTGCCCAAGTTGGCGTCGCCGTCCCGGGAGGTGCTGAAAAAGCAATTCACACGGTGCGCGCCTGGCACCGGAGACACCAGACCTCATCGGACAAGGTGGCCCTCAAGCTTGACTTCGCCAATGCCTTCAACACGGTCCGCCGCGATGCCGTCCTTTCTGCCATCCGGGACCCTTTTCCAGCCCTGGCACGGTGGGCAACCTGGTGCTACCAGCGGCCGACCCGGCTACAATTTGATGAATGGATTGTTGAATCTTGCGCCGGCGTTCAACAAGGCGATCCTCTTGGGCCGCTTCTTTTCGCGGCTGCTTTGCAACCCCTGGCTCAGGACCTTCGCAATGCAGGGCTAGACATTGGTGTGCACTACCTGGATGACGGGGTCCTGGCTGGCAACATCCATGCCGTCAGTGCTGCCCTTCGGCTGGTTGAAGCGCGGGCCGCTACGATTGGGCTCCGCCTCAATCTTGCCAAATCTGAGCTGATTGCTGTCGGTCGCTTGGACATCGCGGCCCTCCATTGCCATTTTCCTGATGCATTGCTCCGCGCCCACGCCGATGGAAGCTGCCGCGTTGCCCGCAACTTTGAGCTCTTGGGGGCTGCCATCGGCGAGGATAGCTTTATCCACTCCCACACAGTGGAACGGGCCGCCAAAGCCGGCGACTTGCTTGACGCTTTGGGTGAGCTGGAAGACCCCCAAGTTGGATTGCGGCTTCTGCGAGCCTGCGCTGGCTTCGCACGTATGCTCCACAGCATGCGTTGCAACCCTGCTGTCCCACAAACTGCCGCCTTGCGCATGTTCGACGGCATGGTTCGTCGTAGCTTCGGGGATTTCACCGGGCTGCACCCCAACGCTTTGCAATGGAAACAAGCCGCTTTGGGGTTGGGCCATGGAGGCTTAGGCCTTCGTTCCACTTCGGACCACGCCTCTGCTGCCTTTCTGGCATCCTGGGCATCCGCCCTCCAGGCTGGGGCTGCGCTTGATGCGACCTTCTGCCCCAATGAGGCTAAGTCTTGCCCGGAAGTTGCTGCGGCCCTTGCTTGCTTCAACTCGAAACTCGAGCCTGAAGCTCACATCACTTTGGACGATGTTCTCTCTAGCAAGCAGCACGCCATGTCCCAGCGGCTGGACCATGCTGGCTGGCAGGAACAACTCGGACACGCTAGCGTTGCTGGGCGCGCAACCCTGCTTTCAGAAGCCTCCGTAGGAGGTCGGGCTTTCCTCGCCGCTGTACCAGCGGGCCGCACCCGCCTGGAACCTGCAGCCTTTATTTCCGAACTCCGGGCACGACTGCAGATCCCTGATGCTGACGCGGATGCTTGGTGCCCGCTTTGTGACGGAGTTATGGACATCCACAACTACCATGCGGGGATGTGTGTGGCTGGTGGCGAACGCACTCAACGCCACTATGCTGTCCGTGACATTGTCTGTGCTTGGGCACACCGGGCTGGCCTCCGGCCGGAACGGGAGCGACCCGGCCTGTTGCTTCCCCAAAATCCTGAGGATGGTCACAGTGCTCGCCGGCGCCCTGCCGATGTTTTCTTGCCAGCCTTTGCTGGGTCTCCTTCTGCCTTAGACTTCGCCATCACGGCGCCCCAGCGGCAGGAGACCCTCGCTCAGGCGAGCCAGAAACCTTTGGCTGCCGCCGCGGCTTACGCCCGGCACAAAGAGGCGCACCTTCAAACTGCCGAGGCGTGCCGCGCACAAGGAGTTTGCTTTGTCCCTATGGTTGCTGAAAGCACAGGTGCCTGGGATGAAGGTGCTATGGCTGTGCTGAAGCATGTCGCCCAAGCTGTTGCAACCCAATCAGGGGAGGACCCTGCAACTTGCTTCTCCCTTCTCCTTCAAGAGTTGGGGGTAGCCATTCGTTATTTTCGGGCTCGGGCCGCTTTGCGGCGTCGCAGCGAGGGCGTTGCTCGTTGATGGTTGCCGGCGTGGACATCCTCTTCTGAGCTGCAGTGACCCGCTATTTCTTACTAGGTTTTGCCAATTTCTCACCTTTTAGTTTCTAGTTCATGACCGCGAGTCCAAGTCCCTGCTTGTGTTTTTTCTGGCTGATGCCCCTTTTCCCATCCCGGCTCTGCCGCCCAACTTGCTGTCCCAGCATTTACTGGGACGTGCGGATTGACTCGCATGGTCTCTGCGTCCCCTCTTGTTGATCCTGCTTTTACGAAGCTGCATTTACTCAGCTCGGCGGATCGGCACCACACGTGTCAGGGGCAGCTCTTTCTTGTTCCACACCTTCCCATATGCGGTCGGTCTGTGGATACATTGTGTTACATACATACATACATACATACATACATACATACATACATACATACATACATACATACATACATACATACATACATACATACATACATACATACATACATACATACATACATACATACATACATACATACATACATACATACATACTACATACATACATACATACATACATACATACATACATACATACATACATACATACATACATACATACATACATACATACATACATACATACATACATACAACACACACATACATACATACATACATACATACATACATACATACATACATACATACATACATACATACATACATACATACATACATACATACATACACACACACACATGTCACACACACACATATATATATATAATATACATAGAACCAGCAATACGGGGATATTTGGGTTTCACAGAAATGATGGTTTTACGCCCACTGTATGGCTAAACTGATGCCATTTTCAGAGAATCTCATATGTTGAAACTGTTGGCAGCCGGAAACCCAATTTGGGGCCTGAAACCCATTTCTTCTGTTCCCCAACGCTGATTTGTAGCCTTGCATGACTTAAGGATGGACACGCAGGTGTCTTCTGTTCAGCAGCACTGGCTTTTCGGAGATGGTTTCAATTGGCTGGTGGCAGTTCCCATAGCAGCCATAGCCTGCACATATACCTCCAACTGCCAATGACACGTCGGGCATATGGCCTTTGTCGGGCATCAGGAAGAGGACAATGCCGCAAATCCGGCAGCAGGTACGAAGACATCGGTGGAGGATCATGGTGAGACATGGAAGCCTTCGTGTCCTTTTTTGATAAGCCAATATACCCTCCGGTAAACTAACATCACTATGGAAAAAAACACAATTTTCAATGTGAAGACTCACTATCATAAATGGCCATTTTCAATAGCTATGTTAAATTACCAGGGTAAGCCACAGGAAGACATGGGTGAATTGTGCTGCACCTGCTAATTCCGACCAGGTGCGGAAGTGCACGAGGATCCCGTTCCTGCTGGAAGTGGGGCCCCGAATAGTGGCGCAATGCTGATTTCCAGTGTTCATGTTTGCAGGAAGCCTTTGATATTTTGATGTCAATAAAGCATCCAAACATATCTAAACGCATCCAAAATCTTCGAAACATTTCCAAAAACTATGTATTCCTGCAGGGTTAAAAGATGTTAAAAGCCTTTTCCCAATCCATTCATTAGATGCCATGCTGCCATACCGCCATGCTGCGAATTCTGAGGCTGACCCAGCATCTTGGATGGGACACAGTCCCGCCTGTGAGCCGCAAGAGTCGCGAAGAAAATACCGGCGGCACGTTCAAGGGGCTTTCTCAGCACTTGCACAAAAACATAGGATTTTATGGGGCGAAAATGACAAGTATGATCATTATATACTAAACGTCCTTTGAGAGAGAGAGAGAGAGAGACAGAGAGTGAAAGAGAGAGAGAGAGATAGAGATACTGTATATTTAATTGAAAGGAATGAGCCAAAACAAGAGGAGATAAATAAGTAAATGAAAAAATACTTTCTTCGAGTGATCCCCACCCTGAACTACTATTCTGACATACCATCTGGGAGTATGTATGGGTATATGTATGTAATGTATGTAATGTATGTAATGTATGTAATGTATGTAATGTATGTAATGTATGTAATGTATGTATGTAATGTATGTAATGTATGTAATGTATGTAATGTATGTAATGTATGTAATGTATGTAAGTATGTAAGTATGTAAGTATGCAAGAATGTAATGTAATGTAATGTAATTTAATGTAATGTAATGTAATGTATGGATGGCATATTTATTCGGACATTCTATATGACAATATCTGGCATTCTTTCTAGCATATACTTGGCATTCCTGTCTGGCATCTATTCTGGCATACTTTGTGGCATATATTCTGATATTCTTTCTTGCATTCTATCTGGCATCTATTCTGACATTCTATCTGGCATCTTTTCAGGCATTCATTCTGGCATTCTTTCTCGCATATGTTCTGACATTCTGTCTAACATTCTTTCTGGCATATGTATTTGGCATATCTTCTGACATTCTTTCTGGCATGTATAATATATCTTCGGAGATTCTTTGTGGTTGAGGCCCGGCGGGGACCACTGCGATCACGAGCTTGCAGTTGAGGTCTGGGGGGCCACTCTGATCCTGGGCTTGCTGTTCGTGTCCGGCAGGGACCACTGCGATCACGAGCTTGCAGTTGAGGTCCGGCCGGAACACTCTGATCCTGTGCTTGCTGTTCGGGATTGTTCGGGTCCGGCGGGGACCAGTGCGATTATGAGCTTGCAGTTGAGGTCCGGCGGGGACCACTCTGATCCTGGGCTTGCTGTTCGGGTCCGGCGGGAGGAGGCGGCGGCGGGAGGAGGCGGGGCGAGGCCGGACAGCTGACATAAAATCTAACAACCTTAACCTGACAGGTGGGGAATTAATAAACAAATAATAACATGTATGGAGGATAATGCAGGATATATATATATAATATTTATTTACATATACATACATACATATATATATATATAAGTATAATTATTTGCATATATATATATATATCATTATTTACATACATACATACATACATACATACTGTCAAAGGGAACGTAGTGAGAGCATACAAACAATTCATGCATGGGACGCCATTCTGGCTCAAGACCCCCTGCGTGTGTAAAAGAGAGCAATCGCTGCCTGCCATGTTCACTGGGTCCGGAAACTACCAGTAAGGCAGACACCACTTGAGATATAACATCCAGAACAAGGATCGATTTGTTCACAGGTTATCAGCCGTAGGGCTCACTTCTCCCGCCGGGAGAGTGGTACCTGCGTGCTGGTAGCCGGACCTTCTGAGCAATTGATTGAGGACGCAAAGGACCAATCAGCTCACCATCGCAACGATGCAAGGCGGCAGCGGAGATTCGCGCACCACGCAGTTTACCTTCAATGAGAACGCTGCTATGCCGGTCGAGGAGGTGAATCAATCTTCCCCTGGCGACACGGCAGACAGTGGCGGGATACGCTCTACCCGAACTACACAGTCCGGATGGCAAGTCACATCAAACAGACGAAGAATATCCACCCAAAGTACACCTAGATCTTCTCGAAACAGTGCTCGGAGTGATGTTGTCCGCCAAGGGCATCGACCATCTCGAGGACGTACTACTCCAAGGGACAGATCCACCAGGGCCGTGACCGACCGAATTGGTGAGAGGACCGGGGATAGTCGTGTTAAGAGGAGATCAACGGATACTTCTGTGGCTAGTGAACCTATTGCCATGATAGAAGAACTACGGGCACAATGTCAATCCCTACGTAATCAGCTGAACAACATGGAAGCATACGCTGCATCCAGGGATCAACTGATTCATGACATCGAGATCAGGTTCACTGAGTATCTTCGGGAACACAATCAGAATGTATTTGATGAGGTCAATGCACTCAATCATAGATTGTCATGTTCCGCAAATGAGGTTGCAGAATATCAAGCAGAACTAATGGTAGCATCTCAGGAAGACGAAGGTGCAACAATATGCATCCAAGACCTTGAACGCCGAGGTGCCCTAATGGAACATGGTGCACGACGGATCCATCAACGTGGTATGGAGATCCAGGAGGAGTACAAGGATGAAGTACATCACCTTCAAGGACTACTGGGTAATACGGAGGCAAGACTACAACAACTTCATCAAACCAATGTCTTAACCACCGATATTGCCAATCGACTATACGATGAAGGTCAAGAAATGCAAAATGATTTCCAGAACTCAATCATGGAATATCGTAATCGATCTGAAATGGCATCCTCCTCTAGTAATCAACTTGAAGTGATTAGCCAGCAACAATCAATTGCAGTTCATGAATTATCCGAGCGAAATCGGCTATTGAGTGAAGCCTTGGTTCAATCTCGTAAACAGGCCGAGCTGTATGAGAGCAGTATTGACGAGATCACTAGAGAGTCTAGGAAGAAGGTGTTCGAGGCAAATCAGGCCAAATTGGAAAGTGATCTGAAGCATCGAAACACTGAACATGATACCGTCAAAAGAATTGCATCATATAGGAACCAAGAGGCCGAAGCAATATCTCACCTGAGGCTTGAATCACAGGCTAGTGCAAACTCGATCGCAAGGGCAGAGCACTATGAAGAGCTCTATGCCAACGAGCAGAAGATGAACTGCGAATTGAAGGATGAGATCAAGTTGCAGAACACGAAGTTACGAAGATCATTGACTCAGGGTTCTACGACCGACGGTCGTGGCCCCGAAGAGATGCTTGTTGAAGATCTACGTAATCAAGCTAAGATCGCTCAAATTAGGGTTCAGGATCTAGATCATGAAGTTCATGAATGCTTACAGGAGAACTTGTTGTTAAAAGAAAGATTGGCTGAAGTTGCGGATGTAGGGGCGTCGTCCCTCACCAATGCTGAGGTCCGAACTCTAAAGTCTGAACTAGAGAGTGAGCGTAAAATGAAGTTGGCTAGTGGTGTTCAACAATATGAGAGATCATGCATGTTCATGGGGGAAATCCAGGATAGGGATGAAAAGATCGGTATCAAGAATTCTGAGATTATGGACATGAAACGTCAAGTAGATGAAATGAGAAAGAGTCTCAAGGATTCTGAAATGTCCAT